GAACTGAAATCCCACTAGTACTCTGGGGGAAGAGATTCGGGTGGGGTAGGATGTAGCTCAAGCCTCTAGCAGCAAGAGCCCAAGGCCAGTATGGGATTGAGGGGCAGACAGACTGAAAACTGGCTCAAGGGCTTGTCTGCATTCTGCAGGAAGACCACCCAAAATGACAAAGCAAGATAAAGTCCCCGAACACTTGCTTCTCCTTTGCCTTGCAAAAAAAGCATAAATTAGCAAGTTGCATTGCAATTCAACCCTCTCTCCTTAAAGTATCATAGCCCACACATGCATAACCTCTTTTCCTAGAAATTTTCCTTCATTAATTTTTTAAACGGTAGGATGCAAATGCTATACTACCGGATTGTTACAGCACTATAGTGTTTAAGTGAAAAACCATATTCTAAAGGTGTATACAAATGAGCTGCCACTATTCTAACACATTAACTACCCACAGAAACCATTTCTTCCCTTGCATTAGGAAGAGTAGTCAAGACTTAATGTATTTCCTTTCTTTTCACTGGAAACATATACTATGTGAAAACTGTCATCACCCTGGTAGAAAACAAATGGAGAATCATTTATTGCCTACATCAGAACGCTTTACAAGGTGAGCTTTCAAAAGGTATCAAGTAGCTTGAGTAATTAGATGGGATTTTCATTTATGTATTTTATGGTCTTCTACTCAGCAATAATGTGCTGGGCTGGAGAAACAATGTCAGAAGAGAGACATGGTCTGTGCCTCCAGTAGCTTTTCAGTACAGATGAACTGATGTTGAGACTAAAATCAATTGTGCAGTTATGCCATTTACTAAGGAAAGACCTCTTAGCAATCCAGTGTTTTATAGCCATTTGAATGAAGCTACTAACTAGTTTGGGGAATCTAACACTGTTTAACTTGTAAGCCTTCTATTCCTGGGGCAGAAATTAAGTGGTGCCAGTTACTGATCACTGAATTCTCACAACTCATTGCCACGATACTGTCCTTTTGTTACGTCTTTTAATCCTCACAGTCATCTTCAGCGACAGTGGTATTATGAAAGGCAACGAAATAGCTAGGAGAAAGCCAAGAGCTGGAGAATCTGAGTACCAGTTTTGATACAGTGCCCGAGTGCAGAAAATTATCGACAGAAACATGGAACAACTTGGGACAGGCTTGCTGCTTGTGAGGGTAGTGACACTGGGCAAGCTAATTGCTGAGAGATGATTGACACCACTCATGCAGTTTCCTGAGCTGTAAAAACTACTGCCCCACATATCCATTGGATGCTCAGCACACAGTGCTTTCCAGAACAAGACTCATCAGATGATACTGCAGGAAATAGTTTATATACATCCATGCTGCTGTAGATGGAATAACATGTTCAACAAGACCACAATCCTCTGCTTGTTGGCCCTTGGTCACCTCAAAGCTCCTTACCATTGATGCTTGAGTGTGCTGTACCTACACTTCTTAGCAGAATAGGGTTGTACTTTTGCAAAAGACAAGACCTGGATAACCAGGCTTCTCACTACGGCCATTTTTTTTTAACCCAATGATTTAACTGATAGAATGAATTCTCTTTCCAATGGTTCTTGTTTTTTTTTTTTGTTTTGTTTTGTTTTTTTGTCATACTCCATTAACCAAAACAAAACAAATATTGTCATCTTTTCTGAACACATAAAGCTAGGTCATTTATTATTACTAGAAATTATTGATTATATGGTATGTGTTTGTGTGTGTGTGTGTATGTATGTATGCATGTATGTATCTTTGATGCTTAAATTTGACTCTTTTTAACCCTTCTTCTATTACCTAAAAATTCCAAAATGTATAAATGTATGATGAACATCTTAGGGGCTAGAGAGATTGCTCAGTGATTAATAGTGCATCTGGCTTATCATGGTTTGGATGAGAATGTCCTCCCTGGGCATACACATTTGAACACTGAGTCCACAGTAGACGGCGCTGTTTGGACAGGGCTAGGGGATGCAAACTTGATGCAGAAGGACATCACTGGAGGAAGGCTTTGAAGTTTCTAACCCTCTTGCCATTTCTGGTGCTCTCTCCCTCTCTGCTTCCTGTTTGTGTTTTAAGAGGCGAGCTCTCAACATTTCCCTTCTTGCCACTGTCATTCCATTCACCACCATGGCATTTATCCCCATGGAACCAGAAGTCAAAAGAAATACTCTCTCCCTTAGGTTGCCTTGGTCACAATGTTTTATCAGAACAACAGAAAAGTAACCAGTGCCCTATTACTCTTTCAGAGGCCCTGAGTTTGAGTCCCAGCTATTGGGGCTAATGCCTTAAGTACAGTTCTTGGTGATACAACACCTGTAGACTGAAGGCACCCGTGCTTGCATGCACATAATGCTTCGCACATACATGCACACAGACTAGAACATGAATGAATCTTTAAAAGATAAGTGTGGCGGCGCAAGCCCCTTGGGAGGTTGAGGGAAAATAACTGCTTCAAGCTTAAGATCAACCTTGGGAACTTTGTGAGATCTTGTCTCACACAAAACCCAACAAGGACTGTCAGAGTTTAAGTGCTCTTGAAATGGAAGGCTTCTGAAGGAGGGATACACAATGCCATTTGTTATCAATGCTTTATTGTTCAAAACAAAATGGAAATTCTCTGGCACATAAAACAATTATTTCTACAAAAGGAAAGCCTACAAATCTTGATAATTTATACAAATAACAGTTTTTCAAAAAATAAAATTTTAATTTAGTAAACTTGTCTTGTGCTCTCTGTTTTTAGCACTGTCTGCAATGATTCCCCCCATAAATCCCTGAGCAGAGTCATTTTGATCATGTTCTAACAACCCAACCCCTTCCCTCCCCGAGTCGGTCAGTTACTACGTCCAGCCCTGTAGTGAAAAGTGTCGGAGACATGTAGGTATTAAAGATCCATGCATTTTATGATGCAGGCCCAATTATTGACACCACTTGGAAGCTGAGTCCTGTGAAGTGTGGCTACTGTGTATTCAGTGACCCTACAGGAACCAATTGTTGGAAAAAGAAACAGTAACAATAAAGATATAAAATGTAAAGACTAGAATGCCACAACAACTATTTAAATAAATAAATGTTAGACACACTGAATTTATCTTTATAGCCTTATATTAAATTCTTTTTTCTTCCTTTCATCCTAATTGCCAATGCATTAGAAAACGGAATGTATACTTCAACCCACTATTTTGGTTGATCAGGGGTTTGCTGTTGTTAATGCTAAATATTATTCTGACAACATAGTGATTTAGTTATAATTCAACTTCTGGTCCTTCAGTGAAATGTTTACAAAATATTATACACATTATAGAGGATCTTCTCATGAATCTCATCAAAAACTCCCACTACATTTGTCCTTCTCACAGAGAGACTAATGTCATAGGACCACTACAAATTCTTTACCCACTGTATTCAGGTACATGACACAATGTATAATATAGGGAAAAAACATAGTACTTTTTGCAAGTCCAGTTTCCCTTTAATAAAATCACTGATCATATATGTATGTATACATAAATTATAAAAGGGAAGGAGAAAATGCTAAATTTTAGTTGTGAAAAAACTGGCTTAACAAATCCTTTTTTTGTTGTTGCTATTTTGCTATGATGGATAATAAATAAATAAATATGTAGGGTATACAATAGTTAATTTCTCTACAAAGAAGTTGCTAATGAACTAGTATTCCAGGAATTTAACTTTTAGTAGCAAATTTTATGAACAAGCAAAAAATTTTTTGTTTCATTTTATAGTTTTTAACTTATAAAGTGGTCATTGAAACACCTAATAGTCGTTAAGGAAATAAAATACTCAGTTTTCTATTGGAAAATACCTTTCGAATGAGAAAAACATTCGGCAGAAGACAAAGATAAATGCAGGCTGATGCTTACCTCCATGGCATCTCAAAATAATTTATTTGTGACGTTTTTCAGAAAGAATGAAATAAGGTAATCTAAAAGGACTTAACTATATTGCTGTTTAGGCATCTGTTAGGAATTGATGGGCATTTTACACCAGCTCTTTCCAAAACACAGAATCATTGAAACCAACTCTTCTTCTGTCTGTACTCAACCTTCACTGACTCACGATGACCACCACTGTCTAAGGAAGCACCAAGGACTTTGCCTTATATAGTCACTATCAGGTACCAGGACTGGAACACTCACAGTGTCCCTTTGTTTCGGCCTCAGTGAGCATGTGCATTAACCAGTAACAGACACTGTAAATGGTAATTGCAAAGGAATGAAGAATACAGTGACATCCACTCAACAGTTTTGGAGGAAATACTGCCAACCAACATCAAAATGAAAATAACCGGGACACACACCAAAGGCCTCCCCAGGCCCTCTCATGTCACCTGCTGAGAGCTTGACCCCCCCACCCCCACCCACCGTGGTGTTCTTTCGGAGACACAACAAACCAAAGTTCAACAGTGGGAAGGAAGCCTAGGTTAGTCAGACCATAATGTGTTTACGTGAACGAAAAAGGAACGACTGCGGATTCTGACACAACGTGAAAACCGGAATTTGATAAGCTTCAGAAATCAATATGCAGGCTGTCCCGGAGAGGGAAGACAGCAGAGTAAGGACAACCAGAGGCCCACTGGGATTCACACTATGCTTTACTCATCCCCTGTTCACACTTAACCTTAAGAGTTCACTGTGGCTGGGTGGGCTCTCTGACTTCCTCTCACAGTGTTTAAGGAACGATATAGTTTCACGATTCTCTTTCAAAAGCCAACAACCTCTGCAACTGAGATTTTCTCTCCCTTCTAAGAATGCCAGTACAGTCTACAGGTAACAATGTAACAATTAACATCCACCAGGAGGTTTTCAATGTTCCCCTTTTTGGTGTTAAGGGCTATGCCCAAAGCAAAGTGGATTGATTCTCCCAACAGTGGCAGCAACCGTGACGACCTCTGTCCTGGGCTTGAAGTCTGCCTTGAACATTTATCACAGCACTGCTGGGAAGTTCTGTCCGTTAACAAAGTCAGCTTTGACAAGCATAGGAGAAGATCAGTCCTCATGGGTCAGGTTTTGGAGGTCTTCAAACCTTGTTTTTCCATGATGTTCCATAGCTTGCGGAGATTGGACTGAGTGATGGCATCGTCTGGCTTGAGTCGCAGAGCCCTCAAGTAGTTGGCCTCAGCCTTCTGGAGCCGGCCATTGAGGTGAAGAATGGCTCCCAGGTTCATGAGGGCAGCTGGGTACTGTAACAAAAACAGAGGCGGTGAGTGAAAAAAAAGGCCATTTCAAGATTTCCTTCAGGGAAGACAAGGGGCTCATGCAGTGAGCCCCATTTACAGGGGCATCAGAAGGAAGCAATTTTCCAACTTATACCAAGAGAGACAGGGCTGGGTGGTGATGGCCACGCACGCCTTTACTCCCAGCACTTGGGAAGCAGAGGCAGGTGGATCTCTGTGAGTTCGAGACCAGCCTGGTCTACAAGAGTGAGTTCCAGGACAGGCTCCAAAACCACGGAGAAGCCCTGTCTGAAAACAACCAACCAACCAAACAACCAAACAAACAAACGAATGAATAAATAGAGACAGGAAGAATATACATCTCCAAAAAGCTGGACAGGCAATTAGGAAAAGCATCATTTTTTTTGTTTTTGTTTTTTGTTTTGTTTTGTTTCTTTAATAGCAAAGCATAGGTAACATAAAAACACTGAATAACCTAGTCAGACTGATTTTTGGGAAAAAGAAAAAAGAAAAAGAAAAGACTTTCGATGTTATGAGGTCATGATGGTGTATCCCCTCATCCCTGTAAAGAGTTGGTGGATGTCCTTGGTGTGCTGGTACTTTGCTTGCACATTAACAAATAAAGCTTGTCTAAATATCAGAGTGTGGAGTTAGCCACTAGTTAGCTATAGGAGCCAGACAGTGGTGGCCAGCACCTTCAATTCTAGTACTTCGGAGTTACAGGCCTTTAATCCCAGTGCTTGGGAGGTGGAGACAGGAGTGATATGGCTGGGCAGAGAGAAGACTATAGGGTGGGAGGAGACACGAGCTCAATGCATTCAGTCTGAGGATTCCTAAAGACAGGATCATGCATTCAGCTTGAGGATCCTTAGGGACACGATCTCCCCCTGTGTCTGAGGATTCAGTAGCAGTAAGAACTAGTGGGTGGCTGTTCTGCTTCTCTAATTTCTTAGAGCACAAACAAAATATCACATCTTGGCTACATTGTGAGAGCTGTAGGCTCCATTTAAAAATAAACAAATTTAAATAAATGCAGTTTTAGAAAGAAATGATCTTCTGAAGAATCCTCAGATATAGGTTAGTAACAGAATGCTTGCCTGGCATGCTTGAAACTCTAGGTTCAAGTCCCAGCACCTCAACATAAAAGCAAAGCAAACCAGCCAAAAATATACTCCAAGGATGAGTCAGGAAAATGAGTGAAAAGTGAAGAACCTATGTCCATACTGTCCATATTCTTGGCCATATTCTAGGCTTTCTACGTGTAAACATTCATCTATGAGATTTACTGATATTTTCAGAGTAGAAGCCCTGAAAACAAACAAACAAATAAAAAAAAACCCTAAATTTAAATTGAATATCTTTCCCAAACCTAAACTAAAATATTTCCCAAGATAAGGATGTTACATTTGAAATTTTTAAATTGAGTTTTCTAATGGTGAATGTTGATATAAATTTCTAAAAAAATTATGAATTTTAAAAAAATCCATTTTTTATAACTTGTTGAAAAGTATTTATGGAAGAAAAAATATATCTTAAGTAATGGTTATACCGTGGCAAGTGAAATATAAAAAACTGGTAAGAATTTTTAAAAAACAAAGATTATGGTATCCATAGTTTACTGCAAAGATTTGTGTGTATATGTGTCCAACTTCTCAGATATCTGCTAATGAAAGTATATAGTATTGGAGAAAATATTTTGCTTGCTATCTACAAATATAGAGACTGCTTCCCTGTTTGTATCATTAGGAAGTTCTTGCTAATGGAAAGCAAACTTTCTGGCAGCTACATAAATGCATATTTCAAATATCAGATAAATAATGTTTATATGCTATGACTGTGCATTCATTCTGAAGATAGTGTCAACCATTAATTGTCCTTCACTGTGCAGAAGCCAAAGATAATTTCCAAACATTTTATGATTTAGTATTTTTACAATGCATGCATTTTTTTAAGTTGAATTCATTTGACCCTACTGTTTACAGTGAAAACAATTATGTCTAAACCAAATCAGTGCTGGGAGAGTAGAGCAGCTAAGAGCAAATAAAGGGAAGAAACTACAATGAGATTTCGGTTAGAAGAGATCTGGGTTGAGATCTTGCTTAACCACTGTGATATTGGTGAAGTGGCTAATGGCCCTGTACCCCAATTTTTTATTTTTGTTAGAAATACATGAAAACAGTAAAAAAATATCCATATGGTAGAATATAGTCGCAAGGTAGATACTCTACAAATGTCATGGTTATTTTCCCTAGTCTGTCATATGCTTCTTGGTAATTTTCATAATTTTGGCTTCACTGGCTAGATAATATCTCTGTTTATACATCATATTCTCCTAAATTCTAAACTACTAGCCATTACTTTCAAGCTTTTCTACATTCTTCTTTTCCTTTCCAAAAATAATATCACAAAAATAAGCTATGCCTGACTTTCACCAACCTTTTGGTTAGGATGACTTCATATTTGTGAAGAAAAATATGGTCACTCTCTAATTTTAAGACCAATTCAAGTACACCCAGCTCTAAATTACATGGCAGCATAAAGGTCTACACTGGAAACCAAAAAACCCCACCTACTTCATCTTCTAGAGGAATTTTGTTATCACACCACTGTTATCATCTCAAGCTCCTCGACACCTGAATACATCTCTGAATTCTGTCTCCTCACAGTGCTTGACATGACTATCAATAAATAGCTACTACACTTTAGTATGCATGCATTCCACAGCCCAAAATACTAGAGATGCTAAAATAGGCTGGGAGAATCACTGTTGGAAGCTGCTTCTTGTTAACCAGAAGTAGAAGCAACCCAAGCACTGGGCTGAAAAGAAACCAGATGGCTGTGGGACCATCCGTATTTCTGCAGTGTTAGCAATGTGTCCCTATCTACAGTGTGCATGCCTCAAATGGCAACACAGGGGGATTATAGGAAACACTCGGGGATTATGTATTCTGACAGTTTAGTTCACAGGCCAGCTCTCTCATACAGAAATGCACATCTGGACAAGCTGGGTGTGGTCTTGGGACCTCAATTCTTGTCCAAGTGTGATGACAGAAGTATTCCCTTTATCTGCGTACTAGATTAGATGAGAATAAAATCACAATGCCCCCCCCTTCCCCTGCTCACTCTACCTTATCCCTTCAGAGTTTCAAACCCAGATCTCTTCCTGAGTGTCCCTGAACAACACACCCTGGGGGCCCCCGACTGCTTGTGTCTGCATTCCCTTCCCAGTCTTTTTGAAGGTGTTCCTCTTAAGAGACAGAAATGGCAACCTTTTGGGATGTACATGACCCAAGCTACACACATATATATACTGTATTATTGTTTCTAAACTACAGCCCAGGGGTTTCTTCTGTCCTTAGGAATTATCTTCCTACCATAAGCTGATGGGTACATATTAGTATTTAATATTATTCTCAGAAAACACAATAAGGGAGCTAAATCTGTTTGATGAATGATTTCTGAATGCTAATTACAATGGTGATTTTAGAACTTGGTATTTCACATCATAGCATGTTTTTCATGAAATAAAAAATAACCATAAATCTATATCATGTAGTTGGTGTGTTATGGTAGGTCAAGGAAAGTCATTTTTATATGTTAGTTGCTTTCCTCAAAGAGCAAAAAGATCTGTAAACTAGCTATGTGCATACTTAAGGATACCCATAGTTTAAAAGATCACATATTTACTTCTAATCATAACATTTTATCATGGATATAAATACCTACTTCAATAGGGAAGCTGCTTCGGAAATTAAAAAACCTGTGTAATATACTGCAACACTACATTCCTGAGTAAATGGTAAAACGTGACTGAAGTAATGGACACTGGCACCTAAGTAACTACTTTGAAAGTGTCAACTGTGATTTGGTCATAAATAATCTTAAGTCTTTGCTAAAAGCATATAAATAACAAGGACAAGCGGTTTATTTTCGCAAGCCTGTCATGCGTCTCCTTCCTGTGTGGTGGGCTGCTGTGGCTTATTGCATGCTCAATGTCCTGAGGAACTACTAGTCTTCTGGCCATGCAACTGAGTTCAAGAGTCATCTGGGAAGCACTTCAGTGCTGGACAGACAACCAGAACTGCTGGCCCCACCTATGGAGTCAGAATGTGAATTTTAACGAGATCCTCGCGTTCTTTTAGTTCCATGAACATGCTAGGAGCACTGTCGTCAAGGTCATTTCTGGATCAAAGATGCTATCATTTTACAACACTTACAAAGGAATCGCTTAGGAGTGGTCTACCCCTTAAGAACAAAGTCTATCAGATCATGTATCTATCCCCTTGTAAAGCAGAACTCTCCTTTTACTCGTAAATGTTCAAGTGAAATTTTATTCACAGAGTTGTAAATGCTCCAGTGCTAGCTAGAGAGTACAGAAGCAGAATGTGGTGGATGTCTAAACAGCCTGCAAGCCTCTTCGGTTGTGGAAACAAATGCAAGAATTTCGGGTGGCAGTCCACCTTACTACACACTGGCAGCTCTGCGCTCTGCCGGCTGAAACTCATGGCTTGGGGATGAGACACACAACCCCAAGTGCCAATGTCTGCCCTCACACACATGGTCTTCATTCAATACAGCCGATGAATTTTTCAGCATGTTAACCATGGCAGGCAGCAGCTTACAACCCTGTTTAACACACGGCTCCTGGCTTAATACAACAAATGAGGCCACCTCCTTCTTCACAAGCTAGAACAGAGGACCAGATCTTGGGAAAGCTTCCTTGAAGCGGGCAGATGCTTTCTATCAAATGGGATAGCTGGCTGCCATGTGGAGGCAGCATCGGACATCTTTCTCAAGTCTCTAGAGAGTTGTGCCATTATTTTACTGTGGTCTTTCATTCTCTAATGTTGGTGAAGGAAGTTAAGATGATGGACATCTGCTGAGGTAGCATGGAACAAAGACACAAAGATTATGGAGGTCTAACTATAGCCTTGAGATCCTCGAAAATTCAAAGGGTGCTTGGGAGCATGAGGTAATTTTTGTTTTTCTATCATCAGCATGTCTCA